ATACTTTACAGTTTGTCATAAGTCACAGATAGCTTAGAAAAGGTTTTCTTAGATTTCAAAACCGAAATTTTAAGGAACCAGCGATGTTTCAAACTAAACATTATCAAAAGTTACAATCATCCCCCTGACTCATTAAGCCCCATGTCATGAAAACTTTCTTGCTTGAATCCAGTTTTACCGTTAGTTTTTTTTATAGATTGCCTTGAAGAGAAACAGCAGTTTTGCAGGAAAACTTTTCAAAAGCATCTGATTAAAACAACAGCTCTCTGCAAATGACAAACACTTAAAATATCCATTGTTAAAGATCTGATGAGTGTTCATTTGATAAGAAAGTGTAGTTATTTCTGTGGTATGCAATCTTTTGAGATGATATTTGGAATTATAAGTGATCATTATACCAGGACATATCAGATTTCTGAATATTTCATATAATTCCTGGAACACATAACATCCATCTGTACAAATACCAGATAAAGAAGGTTTAGTATTACTTTTTATTTGACAACTATTCCCATATAATTTGACATATCAAATAAGCCCAATTATTTTAACATCTCTAGTTTTATAAGATGAAAGAAAATTTCTTCTGAGATTTTCCAGGGGTCTTATGGAAAATTCCAAAGTTAATTGGAGGTGAAAACATATTTGCTTAGTGTATGATGTTGGTAATTTTGGAAAAACATTAAGAAGTTTTAAAGTTATTGGTCAAATAAAATTATAGATCACTGTAAAAAAATACTTAGCTGTCCATTTAATCATAAGAACAATGAAAGATTTTTTAGACAAATACAGAATGTTAGATACTTGTTTTTTAAAAAAACTTTGCCCTTTTATACAGAAGACTCAGTTTTCTGAAGTAATCAAAGGCCTGATGAAGACAACACAAGAAATTAATATCATATAACTTCAAATCTTTGTTTGTTGGACGGGTTACTATAAAAAGTAAAGAAAAAACTTTGTTTGCAATTTCTCATTAAAAGAAGATTATTAATCTAATAAAGCATGGTGTATTGGGGCCCAGAATAGTGCCATGTCTCTTAATTTCTAATTTTCACTATCTGAAATGGATAAGGAGTCTCGAGAAGGGATCCCTGCTCAATTCCACACTTCCTTAGATTATTTCCAAGAATAAAAACTGACCAAAAAACCCCAGACTTTCCCATTATTTTCTTCATTTTGCCTGATGCCATTCCTTTGTATTAATTCATTTTATCTTTCTCAGAGTATGTGTATGTGCTTACATAGGCTCTCACATACAGTTAGCACCCTTGTTTGGTAAATGCTGTGTTTTGCCACCTAGAATTCTTAATAATTTTATCTGAGTGTGCATGTGAGCAGAGGAACTATACTCGGTGCCAGCAGCAGCATTCAGTGCAGTTGTACTCCAGCTATGGGGACTGTACACATCATCTAGGTCATTTGCAAAGGGATCAGCTGGCCTGGCCTCCCCATGTGCACTCATTCATTAATGTTCAGGGTAAGGTAGGACCATGATGGAGTGATTGGGTTGAGTCACTGGCCCAAACTGGTGCTGGGGATGACAACGACTGCAGATGCAAGAAGAATGGTGACTGGGAGAGAGAAGGAACTTTGTCAGGCAGGAGGAATGACCCATGCTGAAGGTGGGGGCTGATTTACCTTTCCATCCAGAGCCCATCCCTGTGTCATCTGCAAAACAATTAAATGTATCACCTGAGTGTCAGATGAGGAAATATTAGAAAGCTTAGGCAATGAGGTTTTTCAGTAAATTATTACAAAATAAGAAAGCACAAATGACCATGGCAATATAGTACATCAGGGAATTATTAACACTTATTAAAGAGTACAGAATATGTGGTTTTAAAAACTGTTTCAACATTGCAAAGCAAATTACATAAAGGCTTAGAAATGGAAATAATATTTAAAGATTTAAAATTAACTTGAAATTTATTGGTGGAAAAGACATTCTTTTCATGCTGTTTCACAAAATAATTATTAACAAAAAATTTTAATAACAATGT